GCCATTTCACAGAACAGCAACTAGTGTTGGATATCCCAGTAAGACATAAAAAATGTAATGCTTGTCAAACACATGGGCAAAATTGATAGAAGTTCACTCTAAAATGCTTCAAAGACCAGATTTATTCACTTTTTGTGCTAGCACAAACACTATACCACACTCTTGTCAAAGACCTGAAAAATCACGTGGTTATCCCTATCAAGATCAGAATTGCTCTGCTATATGATCTGGAAAAGATAAGAACCAAGAACAACTACTTTTAAAAACTTCGAAGTTTTAAAGGGCAAAAAGTTAAAGGAAGTACAACACAGTAAGAATGATCAACAACTATACTAAAAATAATTCCTCAGATTATACCTTTAACTTTCACATGGAACTAACAATCTTCTCATCTAAAAAGCACTCTCATTCCTACTACCACTTAAAATTAAACAATCCCTTGCAATATGAAGTAACTTCCAGAAAATCTATCTCACGAATTAATTATGAATTGTAGATAATTCTAATATGCAATTTAAAGAAGTGTTTTCCTTCTCCATCCCCAATGTCATCGGCTTTCTGCAAGAATAGCTATCTACAGATAAGGCAATGGCAACATTCATTGGGCACTGACCACTCCACAAGACCCACCCAAAGCACACACAAGTTTAAGATGTGAAAATACGAACACTATCTATGGAAGGAAAAGTAATTTTCTACTGCTTGATATTTGATAAAGGAATAGATTTATTTAAAGGAATTTCTTAAATGCTTCTTCTATTTTACCCATCAGACAGAGAGAATCTCCCTGGAATACTTCTGATTTTTTTACTGATTTTTGGGTTTTCTGAGACCTGTTGCAGGGTTGCCCACTAATGTCAAAGTCATAAAATCTTTTTCATATGTCACCCAATCAAAATCAAATTTGCTTTTTTAGAGGCAACTAGTTGTGTGCAGAACATAATCTACCTGTATTTCACAAGCTTGCTCATGCCACTGTCTGAAACGTAGAGCAAAATGGGAAGTCCGTGAGTCTCTCTAAGGAGTTTGCAATTGATTTTTAGTAAATTAGTACACCTAGCATGTGTAAACTGATAGGAGAGATATACGTTCATATCTTAATGACCCTCTAATCACCTGCTCATTCCCTCAGCCTGGAGCTGATTATTCACCAGAGGCACCTTCACTCTTCTGCCTCTCCTCAGGGTTCCAGTTGAGCCACCGTTAGAAATAAGACACTGGGATGAATGGACCTTCGCTCTGTTCCGGTATGGTCCTTCTAGAGTACACCCCACAGTAAGTCAAGGCACTGACAATCAACTCCAGCCAGCAACTGATGTCACTAAGTGAGAACCTGCTAAGGCTCAGGGGCATCACATCTGGGAGACATAAGGGTAAGACACCAATGCAATTGCAGGTGGGATGGACACTGAGTGCTCTCAGATATTCAGCAGCCCTATCAGACAGTCTGTTCTGAAATTCTACAGTGCTTTAGTGCAACTTGAATAAAGAGAAAGAAAACAGTTTACACACACATTATACTCAGCAACAACAACAGCAGTCACTCAGTAGAGGAGTTAAAATTAGATAACTAGGGAGGAGAAAGAGCCCTCCAGCACTTAGATTTAATGGAGTCACTTATTTACTGCTCACTGAATTGCTCTGCAAGAATATAAAAGCAGCCTGGAAACAAAGCATTTCTCCAGTGGCAAAGTTTCTCAGTCAAGGAAGAGTTTACACTTGGCAACCAATGCAGGCTATTGGGAAAGTTTTGTATTGAAATATGTGATTGTCTATCTTCACACCAAGACTCTGAAAATAACTAGCTTACAGGAAAATATGATTTGCTTAAATATTAAAAGGTAAAAAATTAAAGATGAAACTGTAGTGTTAAACTGTTTGCGAGCCTTAAAATTGTAAACTTGTCCACTGAACAAAGCATGCATGAGATTTACAGTAGGGAAAGAGCAAATTACTTCCACACTTCTGTAGCTCATCAGCTTAAAGAGCAAACAACTCCCAGCCAAATCTATTTCAGTGGAAAGAAGTGAAAGTGTGTTTGTTTTCCTTGCAATTGCTATTTACAATGTGTTTGGTTGCCTAAGGGAAAAAGACAGACAATTACCAGAAAGGTTCTAAATATACTTTTAAACACTAACAGCCTAAAATTTCAGACAATAAACTGAGTTACAATTATTGTCCATATACTTGGACACACATCCTCAAGTAATTAAATTCAGTCTGTTACGATCCACTGTTTGACATGATTTTTGATGTATCACTGCTGCTGAGATGGCATAAACCATTCAGGGACCGAAAATGCTTTGTAGGGGGTGGGGAGGGAAGGGAGGGGAAACAAATCACAAAACCACCAAACATTTTTAATTGAACTTTTTCCCACTGAAGATTGGACATGTTTGTGAATTACTAACATAGTCAAACATTAAGGATTTAAAAATGACATTGCCTAGGGAGTCAATTTTGCCATCCAAGTAAAAGCAGAGGCCAAGCAAAAAATAAGAAATTTGAGTTTACCCTGGCATTCACACATCCTTTTCTCTCAAAAGCCAGGAAGGTTAAGTATAAAAAAGGACAAGTGTGCAGAAATCCAGTTTTATTGTTGAATGAGTGGGACACTTAAATGGAGCACCTAAAAAGAGATAGGATTTTGGGACTGAGTTCTCTGTTTTGATTGGGGTTTTTTTCTTTTTAAATCTAGCACCTATTTCTTCTTACATCTGTTTTTAAAGATGTTCAAGTATGAATGGTTCTATGTAAAATTTTCAATTTGTCTGAGAAAAGGAATGTGTTACTTGAGGACATAGGCCCCAAGCTCCCACATCCTGAAGCCTGCAAGCTGAACCTGGCAAGCAGGTAAAACAACTCAGTTTTACCTGCTTGCCAGGGTATCTGTCTCTTAAGAGACTCTGAAAGCATCATTTGCCTTCCTTTTCTACAAGTCACTGCTAGATACCACTATTTAGTACTTACAGTCTACTTTTGCCACATAAGTGCAAATAGGCCGCTTAAAACTGGCACCAAATCCAAAAGAAAGTGCTGATCCTAAGAAATTGCAACTCCTTGACAGGGCCAAGATAGCAGAAAATTCTGGCACCTTGCAGGACTGCAAGAAATCCCTGTACTTTAGAATCATTAAAGGAAATATTTTATCTACTTTAAATTGAATTCTCAGCAACCTGATGCTTGTTTAACGGCCTTGACAACAGAAAGTGAACTGGGAGTAGCAGGTCCATGTGTGCAGGCAGGCCACAAGCTATCAAACTGGCAACCATGTGAGCAGTCCTCAACATATCTGAATTTAGTGCACCTACACAGAATCAAATATATACATATTAGGGTGTGGGTGTACATACATATATTAGGGTGTAGTACATCTACACCCACAAACATATCACCTGTCTCAGTCAGAAAACGGGATTACCTATCCTTCACCGCACCAGGACCAGACTTTTCTCACAGGCACAAAGACCAGATTTTGCAGCTGAGCATTTCTAACTTCAAATTCTGTTCAATGGTAATGAACAACTATCTTTTCCTGCTTCTCTGCTTTATGGTACACAGGTGCTATACCACCGCTTAGAGAGTATGAAGAGGTGGGTTAGCACCAGGAAGAGCATGGTGCTAACCCACCAAGGTTGGCAGTCTGATCTTCACACAGGCCATTTACTTAAGAGCTGGACTTGATAATCCTTGTGGGTCTCTTCCAGGCCAGAATATTCTGTAACTCCTCTCTCCTGTATATTGAAATCAAGCAATGCCCTTCCTCTTTAGCACCTCATCTGTGACAACCCATCCCTACTGTACGCTGTTCAGAGGCAAGATGTAAGGTGCGTGAGCATTGCAATGAGCCTGCCCCGACTGCCTTTCAGTCAATGCATTTTAGAACAGGCCCCTTTTCATTTCTTTAAACAAGGTGAGTTTTCTGTTGGATTGGCCTTCCTGGTTACGCTGAATCAGACTTTTTCCATGAATATTACAGCTGCTTAAATACAAACTCAAGCAAAACAGCCTGGTTTCTTCTTGGGAGAGCTATATTTTGGTAAATTTTCCTTTCTCCTGACCTCAGGAGACCTTCTCAGGCCTACACAGACTTAAAACAGACTCTAAGAAAACTTTGTTGTCAAGCACCAAGACTAATAAAAGCACTATTCATCTAACTTACACATGGAGCTTTTAGTGATGAGTCAACCTGTCCAGTAAAATGAGAGACACAGTTTTTGTCAATTTATCCAACTCGGCAATAAGCAAAATGACTGAATATACATTCTAATGTGGATGTACAAGTCAGAGCACCATTCCAGTTAATGTGCAGGGTGAAATCTGGAGGTAAGGGTCTGACCAAGGCTTCATGTGCTAGGTGCGGTTTATTATCTACCTTTAACCAATTTTCATTTTGGCAGTATATTCAGGGCTTGTCATACCAATTTAATTATTCTATTAACTTTGCATCTTTATCAGGCAGTTGTGCAAACACTACTCAGCTTTATGTTTCCCAGATTAGTTCTACATGCTTAGAAAGTTTGATGAAGCTGAATTATCATTCTTAAGCAAACTGGAAACACGTCAAAAAGGTTTTGCTGTGCTATGGCATCTCTCAGAAAAGCTCACTGCATTAGCTGATGCAGAGCGGGGAGGAAACTACAGTTGCATTTTAGAGCTCCAAGAGGAATAGTTGCGATAAACACATTTTCCACCCTGCTAGGGGAGAAAACGCAGGACAACCACTTCTACCCGCAGGAAACGAGGTGGGGCATCCGTGGAGAAGAGGATTGGAAAAGAAGGAGGGTACCGGGAAAACAGAAGCACGGCAGCAGGAACTCGCATCAGAGCGGCGTAACTTTCAGCAGCATCCTCCTCCCCGTGCCGCTGCTGCAGCTCCTCTCCCCTGGGGGCTGCCGAGGGATGGCTCCGCGGCCCGGGCCCGCAGGGGCGGCGGCGGGAGGGCACCGGCCGCCCCCCGCCGCCCGGAGGAAGAGGAAGCAGCGCCGGGCCCGCAGGAAGTGCGGCTGCGGGGGGGGCCGCGGCAAGGGCGAGGGCAGCCGCCCTCTCGCCAAGCGGCGCACCTGCCCTGCCCGCCCCTACCTTGTTGAGGTGGGGGTCGCGGAGCACCTCGTAGCCCCTCTTCATGGTGAGCTGCAGGGTCCGGGCGCCGTCCCGTTTCTTCTCGTCTCCTTTCCCTGCTTGCATGGTGCGGCGCGGCGAGGCTGACTGCCGTCAGGTCGCTGCGGGAGCGGAGGCAAAGTGACGGCGGCTCCTCCTGCTGAGGTGACCGCCCGGCGGGGTGGGATGATCCTACCGGAGGGCGGGAGGGAGAGAGGGAGGGGGCAGAGCCGTGGCGAGGCGCCGCCGCCGCGGGAGGGGGTCACCGGCGAGCCGCTGAGTCACCGGCGGCTCCGCGCGCGGCCGGGCGGCCGCCCAGGTGCGAAGGGCAGCGGGGGTGCGGGCCCGCAGCCCTGCCCTGCCCGGGGATGCAGGCTGCGCTGCCTTCTAGCGCAGCGGAGGGGCCGCCCGGAGAAGAAAGCCGGTCTGGGATCACCTGCTGCGGGGGGCTGGCAGGCGCGGCTCTGCCTCGTCACGCCGGGTTTGGCACAGGGGCTGCCGAGCGCCGCGCCCGGACCCCATCGGCCCGGACAGCGCTGACCCCCCTGGCGCGGCCTCACGCAGGAGCCGGGCCTCCGCGCTTGGGTCACGTTCAAGTTTCACTTTCCTTCTGCTATTTAAATGGCCATGAAATCCAATCTTTCCCGAAGGGGACGGACTACATAGCTTCGTACAGTCCGGAGCACATGTTTGATGTAATTAGCTGTGGGTTGGCTTCAGCTGTGGTGGCTGGGGTTACGCCTGGTCAGGATGGAGAGCACCGGGGCAGAGCAGGTGCTCAGCTGGTTTGTACTGCTAGCCCTGACATTTGTTTTCAGTATGTTCTGAAATTCTTTGCATACAACCCATTGTGTACTGTATCACTGTGGCCTTTTTCCTCTAAATTCACATATATAAGCAAAAATAATTTCCATATGGATGCTGTAGTCCTGCTGGAGAATTTGCACAGCTTTAAATGTGTGACTAGAGGATTAATTTAGAAGGGTTTTGTTTCTGTTGTCAAGTAGCAATGAACAGATGCAGATTTTGCAGCTCTTTGAAACTTACTTCTTCACATTTAATCAGTAAGCCTTGTATCCATACTACTACCTAATCTTCTATTAAAAAAAAATACTTCCACAGAATCTGGTTTTTACCAAATTTCCTATTAAGTAGCTCTGAGAAGTTTCTTTGCAGATAACTAACAAAGGAAATTTGGAAGCATTCCAAGTCTCTGTTCTGGAAAGTTGACTAGCAAGTCAGCAGAAAATTCAGTAAATAGCTTTGTCCCTTGCTCCACCATCTCAGTATTATGGAAAGCAGTAAACTAAAATTAAAATTTTCTTCAAAACTTTGAACCTGAAATGTTTCTGATCAATTATCCAGCTTTCCTTGGATTTCTCTGACTAGCTAATACCTTCCTCCCCACCCAGGTCCTGAATATTACTTTTAGTAAGTATCAGGCATATGTGGTTTCATCTCGGCTCTTTCTTAGTTATAAACTTGAAAAGCAACATAGAAACATCCTTTCTCCTTTCTTGGTGAGTACACTGAAACCATTCTGATAGAATGCTTACCTAGTGCAATATTTTATCTGAGAGTAATGTGTACTGATGTAATTTTAATCTTCATGTTGCAACACTGTTTATAAAAAAAAAAACCCTCTTTGATTTATGTGAAAAGTCACTGCAATCATTGTGAGTACCTGCTCAGAGGTCTGATCCCAGCTAAGCACTTGTCCTGACTTACTTTGCCCAAGTTATAAAAGGTGTGTAATGAAGCAACTAATTAAAGTCAAATTAATTGGGATATATACTTTTTAAAATGAAATCAGAATTGAGAAACCATTTACTACTGTGTTTTTAGTGCAAATTTTCTCCTCCCTATCTTCCTAAAAATGCAATTTATTTTCATTTATGTTCAAACACTAATAAAAACGAAATCATAACTCTTTTGAGATGAATGAGTTGTAAGAATGGCAACAGATCAAAAGGAAGACCAAAGAAACAATAAAAAATGGTGTCATGTGTCACCTATCACCTGTAAAAATCTTCCACTTGAGACCTGGAACATTTTACCATTTAATGAGATTAGTAGGGATTTATTTGTCCAAGTCTGCTGTTAGTGATTACTTTTCTTCTAGACGTTATACCTTCCTTCAAATTCAGTTGTGCATTTGTATTGCCGTTCTCTGATCAAGAGAAATTTTAGAGTGGCTTTTCTAGGACCTCAAAATGTTCAAACTGTAAAAATAGTTCAGGGGTCCAAAGGAGTAATGCTCAGCAGTTACATCTGCAGTCAAAGGTCATTATTCCAAAAGAGGACTACATTGCATAATAATGGCATAATATAGTCCTATTTATAGGACTATAAATAAAGCTTTTGTAAGTGACCAAATTGTTTGTAATGGCTGTGTGCACAATATAGATTTTTTGGTAAATGTTAGCCCACATTCAGATTATTAGTGGGCATTGTACACTATTATCGTCTTTCTGGCAGGCACTTAATTCTTTTTCTCAAACAGTTTCTGTATGGAACACTTTTAAAACTCTCACTCATGATTTTTCATAAGTACTTATGGTTTCTTTCCACCTTCTGTATTTCTTGTTTCTCTTAAATCTCCTCATATGTAGTAAGGATATATGAAAAGCTCCACTTGAAACAATTCTAGGAAAAAAAAAGACTAGAAGGAAGATTGGTGGTGTGATTTAACCCCAGCCAGAAACTAAGCACTATGCTGCTGCTCACTCACTTCCTGAGAGGGGGAGGAGAACTCAAAAAAAGATAAAAAATATGGGTTAAGAACAGTTTGATAAACAAAATTAAGTAAAATACAGTGCAACAATAGTAATGAAAAGTGAGGTAACAAAAAAGAGGAATAAAACCCAAAAAAACCAAGTGATGCCCAAGACAATTGCTCACCACCTTCTGACCGAACTCCAGCCCACCCCTGAGCAGCAATTGGCCCCTCGTGGCCAAATCCCCCGATTTAATTTAAAGAGCATGATGTTGTGTGGTATGGAATATCCCTTTGTGTCAGCTATCCTGGCTGTGCTCCCTCCCAGCTTCTTTTGTGTCTCCTTGTTGGCAGAGTATGAGAGAATGAAAAGTCCTTGACTGAGGGTGAACGCTATTGGGCAACAGCTGAAACATCAGTGTTATCAACATGATTCTCCTACTAAACCCAAAATGCAACACTCTACCAGATATTAGGAAGAAAATTAACTCTTATCTCAGCCAGGAACTTGACAACCTGCTTTTTCAAGCCAGTAGTAAGTACAGGAAAAAAAATTTCTTTATTGTATTTAATTAAGATGACTCACTGTATTTAAATATCTAAGAATGGAACTTGGGAAATATCTTTGTGTTACACTATGAGTGATCAGAGGATTTGGATTCTCTCAAACTATTTTTTGAACACTGTTGATTTTGGGAGCTGCATATCCTGCTGTGACACTGGGGAGGGGTTATCTTTCAGGGCTACCAGTTTGGAAGAAGAGGAAGGGAACTCCTGTGTCCTGATGAAAACATCCAGTTAACTACTTTTAGGCTGGTATTTGTGTGTCTTGTCTGACTTACCCATTAAGATCTGTAGTCAAAATATTACCAGTAACAGCTGGGTGCTCACTCTGGGGTGACAGTACTCCAGGCAAGACCTCATGAGCCCTGAATCAATGGAAAGCTTACTTCATATGTTTGAACCGTGCCAGTGCCCTCCATACTTGTCAGCACAATGTTTGCTTTTTTGCAATAGTGCAACACTGTTAACTCCTGCTGGGCTTGTGATCCAGGTTGGGTGAGTTCATTGGCAGAGACTTTTAAGATCACTGAGTCCAACTGTTAACCCAGCACTGCCAAGTCCAACACTAAGCCATGGCCCTGAGTGGCACGCCTACACCACTTTTAAATGCCTCCAGGGCCAGTGACTAAATAAAGGATGGAGATGCTCCTTTAACCCTCCTTTTGCTACTCATGTATTTATAGAAACATTTGTTCCTATACATTTGTTTACTGAGTTACAAATTTTTATTGAGTTATAATTTTTTTTTGTTGAGTTAGCAATACCAAGTCAAATTTGGCAGGGACACAAGGTTAGTTTTAAAAAAGATTAATTGTTTCACGATCTACAAACTAATTGAAGCATTTTAAAAGTCTCTATAACAAACATTTTACAGTAGTGGGTAGCAATCCTGACTTGTGCTAGGTAATTTGAAAATGAAGTTGAATTTTTCATCATTGGGACATATGTTTTTAGTTAGGCTGAAGGAGAAGCAAAAATTGATCTGTATAAGCAGTATGAGGTTATTGTTTAATAATTATTTTTTTATTATCTTGAAGAGATTTTTACAACACAAAGGTGGTTTTTGAAAAAGATATACTTCAAAGTAGACAATGCACTCCTGAAGTTAAGAGCAGAATCTGGCAGAAGGTTTGAAATGCCCAAGTGCCAGCACTGAGCGCTGCCAGCCTGCCTGTCCCTGCCCACACTCCCAGGGCTCCCGCTTACCCTGCCATGGTTCAATACCCCATATCAGCTCTCAGGGTCATCGGTCACTGCCCCAGCAGCACCACAGCCCTGCCTGGGCCTGGCCATGGGCCCCGCTGTCCTGGACCCTGACCACTTGTGCGCTGACTTGCCAGCCTGGCCTCCACAGCCTCGTCACTACAGTCACTCAGCAGTCATGAGGCTGTCCCTGACCACTTGTGGGCTTACTTGCCAGCCTGGCCTCCACAGCCTCGTCACTACAGTCACTCAGCAGTCATGAGGCTGTCCCTGACCCTGGTTACCCTCATTGTGCTGACCCCACTTCACATCCTCAGCTCAGCCTCAGACCAGCCTCAGCAGCACAGCACACGTGGACAGGGCTGCCCTCGGCTGCCCCAGCCTGCTCTCCTCCTTCAGTGGGGGTGGTAGGACGAGCCACAGCTGGTGACACCTTGCCTGCCTTGCTGGCCCAAACGAGGACCCCACTGGTCCCAGCCCACACCACACCCTGGCCAGAAGATGGGTATGGAGAAGGCAGAGTCAGGCTCCTTTCACAAATGAGGAGTGCAGTGCTAAGAGGTGGCAGTAGCAAGGTGCACCCAGAGAACATTAGGCTTAAACACAACATTTTCAAGCAGAAGGGTGGGTGAGCACTCGAGTGGGCTGCCAAGAGAGGTTGAAGAGTTTCATGCCTGCAGCATTTCAAAACTTGACAAGGCTGTGAACAATCCAGCTTTGAAGGTCAGTCTGTTGACAGCAGAAGGTTGGTCCAGATGAACTTTGGACATCCTTTCCAACGTGGACTGTTACATGATTCTGCAGGTAGTACATGGCTGAGAGTGAAAAATTCTCTGAACATGCAGGCATTTTTACAGGAATTTCATTAGAGCCACAAAAGGCTGTTCCTCCTCATGAATTCACCAGCTTTCTTTGATCTCGCTCTTCAGTTTCTGACTCTCCTTCTACTAAGGCTTATAGCTGTTTGACCAGTGAGATTTTTACTCAGAATTTGCTTCATACCTCTCACGCTTTATCCCTTTCTGCTAAGAGCTTTATCCTACATGCATTAAATTTAGTTAAACTGTTGAACTTCAACAGCTGGTATTAAGTATCCTAAGACTGCACAATTTTGGAATCCCTTGCTGGGTTCATAGAAATACTAAAATTATTTCAGCATAAAACATACATGATATATATAAAAATCAATAAAACAATAAGAATGCCTATTACAATTTCTGTTAGTCAACATTCCATTGTCCGGGTGTCACAGAAAAAAAGCTGTACCTGGCCCAGTATACGTTGGAGATGTTGAAGCACTGTGAGAACATGTCCACATATGCATAGTACCATTAGGAACTTCCAGCACTTCTCAAGTCAGATGTAAATTAGGAAGAGACATATAGAAGTAGTTGCATGTCTACATAGCCACTCACTTATGCTTCACAGTAGGCATACGGGAGTAGAATGAGACTTCAATTTTTCCACGTGCCAGTGTTAACGTTTTGACTGGTAGACCATGTCCTTGTTATTATAGTAAATCTAGCACAAGGCAATTAAAATATGCATGCCGCAGTGCAGCATGTTCTCAGAAGATATTCTGGCTGTTTCAAGAAGATTAAATAATGCTCAAAATAAGCATCTAACCATTTTTCAGTGTTTGTCCAAATAGTGCAGTTTTCTAAGGATTTTTCTATTTCTAAAAAAAATACACCAAAAATATAGGGGCCCAACTATTCACTTGTCTTTTAATCTCACAAGAACAAAACTAATGCGAGGAGTAATAGATTTCAAAGGTGATTTAAAATGCCAGTATTTTGAATATACAGACACTCTGGAGTGACTTAAATGACCTACATGAAGGCGTGAAAACTCGCATTCCTTCTCTTAAAACTATTCAAAATCAAGCAAATCTTCCTTGAAATATCCTGTTAAAATTAATTTCCTGAATTGGCTGGGGATGAGGAATGTAAAATATTTCTAGATTCCAAAGCCTGCTTATCTGAAGGATAGGAAATCTTGATAGTCTTATCTTTTCATCACTAATGCAAATGCCTATATTTAACACTGCACATAGTTTTAGAAATTTAGATGTGCGCATTTATTTCCATCTCAAATATTATAGAGGTATTTTGTAGAAGAATGTTTCAGATTAGGAGAATTAAAAATTTTTAGACTGTTTGGTTAACTGTCTCAGAAGAAATTTTTCTTGGCTTCATTTTAGTTGTGCTAACACTGAATTTAGAACTGAAGATTTTTGAATGCCAGAATTAAATTACTATGACTTTATGGTATGATTTGTATCATAATGCTGGGAGTTCACTGTCTTGCTAGGAATAATAAGATTTAGAAAAAGGCCCTAAACAGCATTTTTACTTAAATTGCTGTATCAGATCTATGTTCCAGCAATAAGAGTGGAAAATCTGCGAGACTCCTTCCATTGTTTATAAAAAGAGGGTGAATTCTTTCAGCTCTGCTAATTACGGACAAAATTTCAAACAACTTCATCACCTTTAGGATAATTTTGGAATAGTGTGAGCAAGTGCACTTCCATTGTTTGCTTCCATGGTTATGTCTGGCACAGAAATTTTAACAGTTTAGCAACAGACAAATGCTCAGAAATCTTCCTCTTTTAACTACTTCATCTCGTATACACAGGAGCCCATGAAGGGCTTTTTCTTTTCCACGTGCTAATTACCATAAATATTTTGAAGATTGTTCTACAAACTCTGTTTTGTTTTCCAAATCATTAGCAATGTTAAAAGCAAACCTTCTGACAAAAATGTTGGCAGAAGCTCAAACAAGTCCTAGTTCACTAGAAACCCTTCCCTATGCAAAGGGAACTGTGTGGGGTCCTTTACATGCTGTTCACTTGCCAAAGCATGTGAGGTTTAGCACATGAGATTCCAGTGCTTAGGTTTTTAATGTACAAATCATTTAGACAAGACCAATTAAAAGTTAAAAATCAGTTGAATCATCAGGGAAGAAAGATGAGGCGGTACTTTTTGAGGTGGAGAATTGCCACTCTGCTTTAACAGGAGGCTGTAAAGACTAGGTAAAGGAATCATGGGCATCAATGGCAATGATGCTTGGTTTGCAATTACTTGTAAAAGGCCTAGACAGCTTCAGCCTATGAAAACACAAGGGCAAAAGAAATATCATGGAATGACCTGGGCGGGAAGGGATCTTAAAGATCATCTGGTTTCAACCTTCTGCAGTCGGCAGAGACACCTCCCACTAGAACAGGCTGCTCAAAGCCCCGTCCAACCTAGCCTAGAGCACTTCCAAGGATGGGACATCCACAGCTTCTCTGGGCAACCTGTTCCAGTGCCTCACCATCTTCATAGTGAATAAATTCTTCCTGATATCTAATCTAAACCTGAAAGACTTCAGTCTAAAGCCATTCCTCCTTGTCCCATCACTACATGACCTTGTAAAAAATTCCTCTCCATCTTCTTTGTAGGTACTGGAAGGCTGCTATGACGTCTTCCCAGAGCCTCTTCTCCAGGCTGAACCATTCCAGCTCTCTCAGCCTGTCTCCATAGTGCAAAGCCCAGGATATGGTTGCCTGTCTGGTCTGCAAGTACACTTTTACAGCTCATGTTGAGCTTCTTGTCAACCAAACCCCCAAGTCTTTCTTCCCAGGACTGCTTTCAATCCTTTCTCCACCCAGCCTGCATTTGTGCTTGGGATTGTCTGGCCCAGGTACAGAGCTAGGGTTAGGGTTGTACTTGGCCTTGCTAAATTTTAGGAGGTTCACATAGGCCTGTCTCTCAAGATTGTCCAGGTCCATCTGGATGACATCCCTTCCCACTAGTGTGTCAACCATACCACACAGCCACTGGCAAACCTGTTGAGGGTGCACTCGATCCCACTGTTTATCATTTTACCAAGCTTAACATCTGAAAGAGAACACTCAAGGAATGGCTTAGAGTTCATGCTTCACTAGAGCATAAAGAAGAGTGTTTCTCTCCAGCCACTTTTAAGATGATTCTCACCTCATGATTATTCAGGTAGTAGCAGTCAATGTCCCATGAACTTATTCACTGCTAGATCTGTTCCCCTTGTCATCCAAAGAGTCTTCCTATACAGCTCTATAGAGGCCCTCAAAGGTCTGGAGACTATGGCTTTAATACAGTGGTTCTGCATAAATTCTTAATATGAAGCTAACAAGCATCTAAAAAAGATTTCTACTGAGATAACTTCCCATTCCCACGCTAAAACCCCAAAAGGATGCTGTATTTCTAAGACAATATTTTGAAGGTGAACTAACCTGGTCATTTTGAAGTTTGACAATGTTTTCCAAATAGCATCATGTCCTTTTACATAGTTAAGATTATTTCTTCTGACCTCAATTTATAAAAATGTCCAAAGTTATTTTCTGTTGTGCAAAAAAAAAAAAGAAATAACAGAGACTTTGTTTAAACAGCAGATTTTCTGGTTTCAAGCGGTCATGTAAAAGATAATTCACCATTACAGTGGATTTGCAGTTACAGGACAAGAATGACAGAGTTTCAAAAATAATGTGGCGTTGTTGCCTGTGCATAGCAATTAGTTGGTGGCCTACTTCAGATGAGAGTTTCAGTGGCTTATAAAATGTCCAAAGAATAGCTGTCCTAGTTAATATAATTGACTGCAAGGGACAGTTGAAGGGCATGGTTTATTTATTTGAGGAAACATTATCCAAAAATTAAGCAAATTTGGGCAATAAATAAGCTGTAGCAAGAAATATGAGTAAATTACAAATTTTAGAAATAGACTGATAAAAACACTACTGCACAGCATTAAATGTCTTACCTGGCAAATAATCAGGTGTCTTCTTGCTTAAGTTTGTGAGCTGTTTTATTGATTCATACTTGTAAGAAGAGATTCTTGAAGAAAAACATTACTCAAAATGTGTTTAAGTGTTTATGTACAATAAAGAAATATGTAAATAAACATATCACTACTTGTTGCTCTATCCTACCATTAGTGCTTGTACAGTCCTTATAATTCTTCTAGAGAATGTTCACACCACAGGTTTCCCTTATGGCTTTACCCAAAACCTCTAAATCTCCATTAAAAAGAGGATGTTGTTGATTTTCAGCAAATCCCACTTCTATACAGGCCATGCAGTCTGTGCTGTGACATGCCTCTAAAGGAAGGCAGTGCTGGGAGAAGCACAACAGCTACAATGACTCAGAGGCCTCTTTCCTAAGTGGTGCTAAGTAAATTAAAGTAATCCATTGTGTATGTTTAATATTTGGATTGAATATAATCTGCCATTTCGTTACTCACTCATTTACTATTGAAAGGACTTTTGAAACTGCATCTCACTCTGCCACCCTGCCTGCAGCTGTAAGCATACAGTCAGACTTTCTTTTGCCAAGCTCTATTTGGCAATGAAGATAATTTTCATGAGTCAGAAAATACAAGACTTTCTCAAAATCCTGTTATCATCTGTCTTTATGGAAAAGTTCTTCTCTGAACAAAAATGCAAAGTTTGCAAAATGCAAACAAAAAGTGCAAAAATGCTGCAGGTGACATTATTTATGGTAACTGAACTAATGGTAGTATTAGTAATACAAGAGTATTACCCTTGTTCCCTACATAGTGTGAGCTCCCTGTTCTCTGAAAGCCAGTTCTTGGTTTACTTCTGGTGCCTGTAATCTGTGCCCAAATGAAAGAACCTCCATTACCCCAACAGTTCTAATGTTGGTTGGCCAGCACTAACCAGGCCTGCAGGAGATGGATGCAATGTGCACATACCTTAACACAGAGCACTACTGCAATTTACTGCTGCACTGCTCAGCTGCTCAGATTTGTGAACCAACTTGTCATTTAAAAGCATAATGGTGATCCTACTGTACTGTGCTAATTCCATGTGTTTGGAGCACTGGTCTGCAGAGAGGCAGTTATGAATTTATTGTGGCTGTCCATGAAGTGGTTGTCATATTTAAGCCCTGGATGCTGCAGCCTCACTAGGTGCTTATTCCACCATAAATTTATCAGCAGGAATAGATGACAACAGTTTACTAGTTAATGCTCTGGCAGAAACTGAAAAAAGCAAATAGAAAACCAAACATTAAGGGTTTTGACAAATACCTTCAAATACATCTGCATGGAGGATGAGAAGGGGCAACAGTCTTCTAGCAATGCAGGCCTGTCCCAAAACAAGTCCAGTCATTGTGGCACAATGAATGTGGGCCACGTTCCCAGAAATCACAGTGTGCTGAAGGTACCATTGGCATAAGGTTTAGTGTCCATTTATCCCTGGTACTGCAGACTGCAGGTACTGGATTGGACATGAGGAACTGGAAAAAAAAAAAAAAGGTTCTATGTGGTACTGTAAGCATATATTAAAGAGAAATGTCAGAATTCTTTATCATATGAAATAGTGCTTCTCCATCATAAGGTGACAGATCTTGCTTCGTTAAACAGCCACCTAAAGGTGGTGGGCTTTTTTCCCCCTTTTGTTACTAGAATTAAAAATAAAAATAAATTACTTGCCTCCAGTGCAAGAGTTCTCAATTCTTATCCACTGTGTGATGTAAATACAGCATTAACTAGTGAAATATACGTGGACTGGAAAGGAGTTTTGCAGAAAGCAGGAGGTAATGGTCCACGCAGTGCTTCCATAAAGTAGGCAACTGAGTAGGCAGCATCTTTCTGTAACTTTTGTAACTGACTATAGTCAGTTTCCTTGTAATGAAATGACACGGCTGCCTTGCTTTTACTTCTCTGATCATGTGTGCCTCAAAACTGAGCTAATTTGATTTCTTTCCTGCTAGAAATTATTTATTCTGACTGAGTCGTAATCCAGTGAGCGTTTTAGACCCCAAAGGAATTGTTTGTTCTAAGAATTAGCTACGTGGGATATGCAGTGAGTCCAGACTCAGAGCCTTGAACAGATTGTTCAGCTGAAAGGGGGAGGGTAACTTCCTTACATTACAAAATATCAATTTTAACTTCTCTTTAAAAGATAATTGGAATAGTATAACATGTTTGCTCTCAGGCCAGATATTAGTATGGTCAGTTTTAGCTACAAGGTCACACACTGTGGTTGGGTCAGGAACAGAATCTGTGAGAAATGTAATCTCCCTCTCAGAAAAACACCACTGTAATCACCCTAACAAGCATGACAGTGCCAAGGTGCACTGAGAGTATGTTCAATTACACATAACATTTGCACAACATTTAATCTACAAATTATTTTGTAAAGACTAAGTGAATAATCTTCAAGCCGCCTACCTGGAAACATGCTGCACTTTTTTACTTTCATTTGGCAAAACATTATGCTGAGTGAGTACCCTGAATCTCCTTTGGTTTCCAGAATAAGCCTATGGCTTTTCTAGAATTCTGCCTTTAAATGATTTAGCAGCTTTCAAATACACATAGTTGGTGTATATGTAAAGACATAGTCCCTTCCCCTCTGAGTTTTAAATCTGAGGTCCTTGTCCAGCAAACATTTCTCTGCGTATTATATTTTTATATGTGTGAGAGGATCACATTAAACTTCCACTGGGAAATATTTACAGAAAGACCACACCTGCTGAGCTTCAGCCTTTTGGCAAGTGCACTATAGAGGCCTAATGGGAATTCATGGAGAAGAAAGGTTGCCTGCATTTTAAAAGGGTGTGAACCCTCCAAGCTCTGAAGCTATGCACAAGTTTATATTTAGATAACCTGAAAGCTCTGCTTATAAATTGTCAGGGAGAATTAATGACTAGTGCATGTGCAGTATATCAAACATGTGGTGTCTCAGCCACTATTTTCATATGCACCAAAGTATATGTGTGTTCATTACTGATAGCTGTGTACAATAAGACATGTTTAAAGTTTAGAAAGACACATTATTTGAATGTATCTGAATGCAGAAACCAGTGACTCACTTTATTTAATAGCTGGGAAGCACTTTTTGTGTTCCAGCAAGTATTTCCAAAGGGGTTTTTGAATCAAGCAGTCCTGAGACAGTTCATCCTAGAATATCATACTGATGTTTAAAAGAAATAAAATGCAAGTTCTATCTCAGCGATGGCTTCAGTTTCTGATTTTTTTCCCTTGGCCACATTTGTTTCAAGGACTCTACTGTAATGTATTTTTAAGAAGCTATGTCACATTTTACAAAATAAAAACGTTATGTATGAAGAATATATCCTTTATCTTGCCTGTGGACTACATGCTACAGCTGTAAATCTCACATTTCTTCTTTCTTACTTATTTCTGATGAGAGACAGTATGAAGACATCAATGGCTTTGGAATGGTATTATTTATTTATGTCCCAAAGTTGTTAGCAGTTGTCTTAATAAGATTGAATGCTCTGCAGCTCTTGCCAGCCTTACAGTAGCTCTCAGTCCCCTTTCCCTTCTCACCCCAAGCTCCTTAGTAGGTCTGTTATTTCATTTGGAGTTAAGGTACAGCATGTCTCATAGTTTTAGCTTCTGAATCTTCTCCCCTACACCTAGAGATGACATTCATATGAATTTGTATCATGATGAGCCTTTCCTGTAGTCTCTAAAAATATGCTTGCTATCTCAAAATATTTTCTCTCAAATGGTGATGCAGATTCCTGGACCATAGTTTAACTCAAGATGTATTAAGTGAAGACTTCAATTGAAGACTTTAAATCTGCCTTTATATTTAGCTTCTTTTCTTTTTCCCCCACTGGTAAGTGAACCATGTGTTGTAACAGCCTGCTCGTCTGCCTTTATATTTAGCTTCTTTTCTTTTTCCCCCACTGGTAAGTGTTGTAACAGCCTGCTCATTTCTAAAGAGCAGTGATGTTGTCTCCTGCAGAGGCTGCTTCACTATGAACTCCCTCCTGCAAGATGCTGGCCCTCATTCATCCAAGTCTTGTCTCCTGCAGAGGCTGCTTCACTATGAACTCCCTCCTGCAAGATGCTGAGCACTCTGGCCCTCATTCATCCAAGTCTTTAGATACTGAGCTGCTGGACTAATATCCGTGCATAACTGTTTTCAGGGTATAGCTTTGTTCCAAGAAGCATTGTTCATCGTTTACTCCTGTCAGAGGATGGGTCCTAAATAAAGGAAATAATCTTGTCTTTCTGTTTTGTTTGTCTAGCAGAAGAGAGACTATTAACCTAGATTGGAGGACTTGAAAATCAGCTCAACTTACAATATTCCATCCACTTTGCTCTGTAATGATCTTAAGGTCATGATAAGCTGTATATTTCTGTGTAAAAGTTAAATTAATAGCAAAAATAAATTAATACCAAAAAATAATCTAACACATTCTAACTTTGTTATTATTTCATCAAGCAATAATGAACTAGGAATTTGCCCAGTATATTAAAAATATACTTAATAAATCCTACGTTATTCTTGTGGCTCCCTTCCACATCAGCATATTTTGTGATTTTGTGAATTAAGCATTCAGACGTATGTAGAATGCATAGCTAAACAGTTAAATAATTGATTCATGTATGTGATTACTACTGTGCCAATTAAAAACTCATCTTTTATTGGAAGGCAGTGCAACTTTGACTTAGGACTTACACAGTAATTTAGTCCATGAACTGAGAGGAGAGTAGAAAACTGTCTCAAACATACTGGGCATATGTTCGTAAGGAACGGAAAAATTTTGGATCATCTGACTGGCACTCAAATATGCACTGCATTTTAGTGAGAAAAAGGAGAATAAATTTTAAATATGGCAGTGGTGCCATCTCAAGTCACCCACTTCTGTATCTATAGCTGTTTGTGGAGGCAACACAGCAAACCAGATCAGCAGCTCAATTTCATTAAAATTAACTATTTTCCAGTGGATTTTTGCTAACTGAAGTAATTATCTGCACTCTGTATGATTCACTCAGAGCTATATATAAGGATGTAGAAGTGATGCAAAAAGACTGGAGGGATGGAATGCCAGCAATAACTTCACTTGGTAGTGGCACTATATACTTGTCCCTGAGGTACGAGTCAAAACCTGAACATTTGTTCTCAGAGTAAATGGAAAATAAGTGTTAAAAAG